TGTAAAATAATCTTAGAATGAATCAAAAACTAAACTTTGATCACATTGTCAGGTTAACTAAACCATTGACGTGACGCACCGACGATCGAAGGATTCATTGACGGAGTGGCGAACTCATTGACGGAGTGGCGAACTCATTGACGGAGTGGCGAACTCACTGACGTACTGACGTATGAGGAAGCCCTACATCAGGGAAAACATTTCATCCGTCATTCCTCGATGCTACCTTACAGAATACGAAACACCAATAATTACCAAAGAAAACGAAAAAATAAATGCAACATTGATTCAGTCAGTACACTTCAGCCATTTTGCCAAACTTAAGGAATGGATCAGAGCATCAATGATGTCCGTCAGTAAGTCGATGTTTTCGTCAAGCCCGTTACTAGTACCGAAACTTCCGAAACTTAATCCTGTATTCTTTCGCTTTGTTATTTATGTTTATTGTTAGTTTAGCGAAATGGCTGAATTATACTGACTTAATCAATGCTTTTTTTTTCGTTTTCTTTTGTAATTATTGGTGTTTCGTATTCTGTAAGGTAGCATCGACAAATGACGGGTGAAATGTTTTCCCCTGTCTAGGGCTTCCTCATACGTCAGTACGTCAGTGAGTTCGCCACTCCGTCAATGAGTTCGTCACTCCGTCAATGAGTTCGCCACTCCGTCAATGAGTTCGCCACTCCGTCACTTGGATTATTGATGGGCAGATGCCAATGACGGATTAAGCCAATGGCAATGAATGACGGAGCTACCGATTCATTGACGGAGTGACGGATGAATAAGGCTTGTATGCTGAAGGGCTAATTCATACGTCAGTACGTCAATGAGTTCGTCACTCCGTCATTGAGTTCGTCACTCCGTCAATGAGTTCGTCACTCCGTCAATGAGTTCGTCACTCCGTCAATGAGTTCGTCACTCCGTCAATGAGTTCGCCATTCCGTCAATGAGTTCGCCACTACGTCACTTGGATGATTGACGGACTGACGCCAATGATGGATTAAGCCAATGGCAATGAATGACGGAGCTACCGATTCATTGACGGAGAGACGGATGAATAAGGTGTGTATGCTTAAGGGCTACCTCATACGTCAGTACGTCAGTGAGTTCGTCACTCCGTCAATGAGTTTGTCACTCCGTCAATGAGTTCGCCACTACGTCAATGAGTTGGCCACCCCGTCAATGAGTTCGTCACTCCGTCAGTGAGTTCGCCACTACGTCAATGAGTTCGCCACTACGTCACTTGGATGATTGACAGACTGACGCCAATGACGGATTAAGCCAATGGCAATGAATGACGGAGCTACCGATTCATTGACGGAGTGACGGATGAATAAGGCGTGTATGCTGAAGGACTACCTCATACGTCAGTACGTCAGTGAGTTCGTCACTCCGTCAATGAGTTCGTCACTCCGCCAATGAGTTCGCCACTCCGTCAATGAGTTCGCCATTCCGTCAATGAGTTCGCCACTCCGTCACTTGGATGATTGACGGACTGACGCCAATGACGGAGTGATGGAATCATTGACGGATGAATAAGGTGTGTATAAGCCCTGGATTATGTTATACGTAATTACGTCAATCCATCACTGGGATGATTGGCGGACTGACGTCAATGACGGATTGAGCCAATAACGCAGTGATGGATGAATTAGCTGTGTATCAGCCCTGGACTACTTCATACGTCATTACGTCAATGAGTTCGCCACTGACAGACTGGCATATTCTTTCGTTTTATTTTAAGAAACGCTAGTATTCATCATTTTGTAAGGTAGCATCGACGTACGTCTTTCTAAAAATTTCGTTTTGATTTCGTTTTGTGATTATAATTCATTAATATTACATTTTTTGTTCGGTAGCATTGACGATTGACGTTATGATGGAATCACTGACGTGAGTGGCGAACTCATTGACGGAGTGACGAACTCACTGACGGAGTGACGGGTGAGGTAGAATTAATTGTTTAAAGCTGTATTAATGAATTATTTCAAAATCTGTGTCACTGGAATGATATTTATTGTCTTCTTCAAAACTTTGGTTTGTCATGACATGATCTACAATGCTGTGGTGTAGGATTGACATGAAATGAATGCGCTTCAAAGCTGTGGTTTATTTAATCAATTTTATAATTTAATAATTCTCTAGTTTTAGTAAGAGTAGTATATTCTTATCAATTGACTGATGAACAATAATAGATGTGAAAATTTGTTGAAATAGAATGAAGGGATTTTTTACTGCCGTTGATAAAAGCATAATGCTTAATACGTGACCGTTTATTATCGTGGCGGTTTTACAAAAAGGGAGATTGAAGATTTACTTTAAAGCGTTTCTATTGTTGAGAGAACTGAAACATTCCATTGACCAGACGTACTCTTGACAACGATCTTTGACAATTCAGAAAAGAAACCATATTAGCATAACTCACTGAATCTAGAAAAAAAAAAACAACTTTAGTTATTTTGTAGGAGTTTTGAAAGTTTCTTCTTGAATAGTGAAAACAGTTATCAGTTGAAAAGGGATGTAAAGACCAAAACATAAGGTAAAATACAGTTAATTTCAATCAAAATGCTATTAAACGTTTAATTGGGGGGATGTTATTTAGTGTATTCCGAGTCTTTACTTTCTTTTTATTTAGACTAATCACAGACTCCTGTTACTTATTGATAAACGATTCTCGAATTCTTCAACATTTCTTCTGTATTTCAATTTCTCCCGATGTTTAAGTTTTGTGTGAATAGAATGACTAACGAAATGATAAAGTAGGTCAAGAAGTGGGACTGTTGGATAAGTATATAAAAATAGAACTTTACACTGATAAATAGAGGCCAAGGTCGGATACTTTTTAACTAATAAGTAGTACACACATTGAGTTATTTGATATATTTGACATAATATATAACAAATATTTCAGGAGGTTTCACCAACAGTTACATTGCATAGTTATCAGACGATGTCGCAGGCCGTAGCAAGACTGTTGGAAGGGGAGTTTGATATAAAGCGGGTGTGGCCGTATTGCCCCCTTGTAGCTACGGGCCTGAAATGACATTAAGATAAAATAAGATAAGATGAGATTTATTGCATATACGCCCATTGTTGGCAGCATCCAAATATAGAAACAGTACTATAAGGTGAAAGATATAATGAACACAGATATGATATAGATATAATAATGATACATGCTAAATAGACAAAATAACAATGGTACTTAATATATAAAACAATGAAAAGGAATCATGGTCCTTTGTAGGCGATAAGATAACTCGTTAGGCTCAAGCATATTTTTCATATGATGATATTACTAGGTTTGAAGCAATCTCTATCTCTTGATTACTGAACTTCTGGTGTAAGATATTTTGAAAAAGTATTTTGAAAATTGGAATGGTGCAAATTTTTTTTATCAGTGTCCTCAATACACGTAAAAAAAAATTTGAAAACCTCTTTTCTATCCCTTTAATTTTTGACCTATTTTGCAATATTGGCATTTAAAGTTTCTAATACAAGTTATTTCCCTTCATTTATTTCATTTCATCAATTCCTTATCGTAACCAAAAGTCTGTAATAAATGACAGGTGGAAATCGAAAAGAAAGAGGACGTATGTCGGTGTCCAGGCAAACTTTCTCCATTGCACACTGCAAATGTAACAATGTTTTCCTGATCTTGATCTGGTTTTAAACGTTTTCTGTATTTCATTATTTATTTCATCTATATAACTATACCATCCCTTGCCTTTTTCACCAGTATTTGATGATCATGATATTGTTATTCGACTCTTCAATAGGAACATCTAACATTTTGGAATAGAAAGTATAAGAATTATGAAATTAAACTTGCTGATATATCTCGTGACGATTATCTTTATTCATATAATCAACTGATGATTCTTTTTAAAGGACAAAATGGCGTTGAAAGAATTCTGGAGTTACCTGTGTGAGATGACATCTAAATATATACCTGAATGTATGTATGAGTTTATACCAGAATCTATTATTGTTAGGACATTACTGATTGGTACTGTTACTGGCTTTATAACTCATATGGTATTTAAAAAGCGATATAATTTGCCACCCGGACCCGTCTCATTTCCACTAATTGGTAGTCTTGTTTGTAAGTATTATTAGGTTTTATATCATAAGATAAAGCTGTCTGTGTCGATAAATAAGTAAGCTAATGGTGACATTGGATTGTACGCTAGCTATAACAGACAATGCGAGCCCTAGACAGAAAGTCTGTAAACTTCAAGCCTGTCATTGACTGTATTCGCTAGCCTACATTAAAACTGCTGCATTCCGTGATACAAGAAGGTGGCTATTGAAGACGAAGTGAAGATGATCAGACGAATGATTCCCCACTAAATTAAAACAAATGCAGCGTCTGACACTCCTGCAACTGATTCCAATCGTTCATAACTGGACATAGCGTAATCAGAATATTATTTCAGGCTGGATAAGAAGTCAATGTGGGAATAGGAACTTATGGACTATGCGCTGAAGCTTTTAAGAAGTCTCATTAAAATGTCACAGTATTCTATCAATAGGCTTTATATTTCAGTTTTTTCAAAGGAATGTATCCCACAAAAACTATTTGAATTATACAGAAAATATGGTCCCGTTTTTAGCATATCTATAGGTAAAGATATCTTGATAACTACAACCTCCTTTTACCTTATTCAAAAACCTTACTTTGACTACGAACCTTTTAACTTCATATGAGTTGAACACGATATTTCATATGTAGACTACATAGGGTTTATAAAACACCAGGTTTCGTTTGTCCAGTGTGTTTTTATATTTCTTACACCGATTCGAATGATATTCATGGCAGGAACTGGGTATGTAGATTGTAACATTTGACATAACAGTCACAAGAATTTGTGTCTTCGTATTCTAATTTTACTATTTTTGTTTTAATGCTGCTTGCTATTTTAACCCTTTTCTTTATATTCAGGACCTCAAACAGTAATTGTATTAAATGATATAGATGTTGTTAATGAAGCATTGTTGAAGAAAGGGTCACACTATTCCGATCGAGTGCAAATGTTTACTAGTATGTTCAAGTTTGTGATCGGAAGTTTATTTTTTGACAATTCGATCTATATAATATGTACCTTTGTGTGCCTACAATCTACACGATTGATAATGAATGATAACATAAAGCCGAGAGTACTCCATAATAAGAAAGAATCCATAATAATTTGTTTATGACGAAAATCCTTGTCATTTTTATGGTGTTTTTATTTTGTTGCAGTAACAACTTCAGTTCAATATAATTCTAATCGCTTTATTTCCAGTTAGAGAAACGTTGCACAACGGAGAGGATATAATATTTGGTCAATTCGGATCAGGATGGAAGTTAAGGAGAAAACTGGCCTCAAGAGCTATAAGGTATTGTCTTTATAAAAAGGGATATTGGATATTTCAGCTTTCCGAATTGAAATCGTATTAATGCCTATAAGACTTTTCCAACGTATTATCATTAGCATATATATCAAGAATCGCACAAAATCTGCATCTTCACAATGTCAACCTATAACGAACTTCGTCTTATACCTTGACTGCAAAAGCCACCTATCTTGATTCACATATTGTGTTTGTACATGCAGCGATTTGATTGGATTGTGCGTTAGGGAAAATAGTCAATAAGAGTCCTCGGTACGCAATAATAATGTTTAAAGTCTTTCTCTTTCTGTCTGCCCGAGGCCCCGTGTACTAAAGGCTGTGCACGTTAAAACGTCTTCATTAGCCACATGGTGCAGAAAAATGGGACGTAAAACTCCATTCATTTCATATGTCGATGGATCTCATTGGTAGAGTTCGCTGTTGTACAACCCAAATAGATGCATTCAGTGATACAAGAAAGGTGGCTATTGGCCATTACGGTCAAGGTATAAGACGATGTTCGTAATATGATGACAGTATGAAGATGGTTATAGTGTGTTTACAATGTATCTAATGGTCGGACATAGTTCACTTGTATATGCAGACGTAAATATTAAAGAATTAATCAGAATGATTTTTAAGAACTCTTACTGATACTTTTGTTTCAGATTGTTCATGAGTACAGATAATTTCAACCACAAGCTAGAAGAAGCCGTTACTAAAACAATAGAAGCTATGTTAAAAGAAAAAGGAGCCTTCAATCCCAAACCTTATTTATTTTACGCAACTTTAAATATCATAGCAGCTATGTGTTTTGGGAAAAGGTATGTTTTTCATACACTCATTAGCTATATCAGGTGATGAGTTGTTTTGATTGCTTAATGCATGGATAATAACCGCAATAATTGCCACTACACATAATAATGTAATGTCTCTCAAGCACTCAATAGTCTATAAAAGTCCTGTAAAAAAACCTCTTTTTGTTCCAGCTATGATTTTGACGACCCTGAATATTGGGAGCTTCTGAATCTTTTAGAAAGGAATGCCGAAGTTCAAAATGAAAACCTAGTATTAGAAAATGTTTTTCCATATTTTGCCGGGATTTATAAAACTAAAAGATGTCGTGATGCAGAGGGAATAATGAACAGATTTATGTCTTACGTTGAACGTCATGTCAATGAACATAGAGCAAAATTCGTGCCAGGTAGGCCTATGTATAATATAGCTTATTGTCAAAATGCCGCATGTTTTTCTGAAAACCAGTTACACCACCTTTGTCAATCGATGGCTCGTGATCTGGAAGTGTAGATAATATATTTTTTGATATGATACATTCTTATATTGTTTTATATATATTCATATTGTACTATTTGAATGATTTAGGTGAGGTTCACGATCTAACTGACAGTCTGTTACAATCTGAAATTGAACTAACTGAGGAAGGTAAAGATGATATGGCGAACTTTAAACCAATTCACGTGCAATTAATTGTTTTTGATGTGTTTTTAGGTGAGTATTGTTAACATATAAATTTGTGCAGTTTCTCTATCTGCGGTGTGAGTGTGATATAAGTGAATAGCACCTGTGGAATAATATCTCTGTTAGTGCAATATAGGTGTATTTCAGCTGAGGAAAAATATCTTTTTTTTTAATTTGTATATTAAATGTGCTCTGACCATATAAATCTGCTTTTGTGTCAAGCGAAATAGAGTCTTTAAACATTAAATTCATGTCA